ATCACTCGGCATCAGGGAAATCCAAATCAAAACCTCAATGAGATACCACCTCACACCAGTCAGAATGGCTAAAATTAACAAGTCAGGAAATGACCCATCTTGGCGGGGGTGCAGAGAAAGGGGAACCCTCGTACACTGTCAGTAGGAATGCAAGCTGGTGCAGCCACACTGGAAAACATTATGGAGGTTCCTCAAAAAGTTGAAAATAGAGCTACCCTACGAACCAGCAATTGCACTACTGGGTATTTACCCCAAAGATACAAATGTAGTGATCTGAAGGGCTACGTGCACCCCAATGTTTATAGCGACAATGTTCACAATAGCCAAAATATGGAAAGAGTCAAGATGTCCATCCACAGGTGAATGGATAAAGAAGATGTGGTATATATATATACAATGGAATATTATGTAGCCATCAAAAGAGTGAAATATTTTCATTTGCAATGACGTGGATGGAACTGGAGGGTATTTGATGAGCGAAATAAGTCAATCAGAGAAAGACATGTATTATATGATCTCACTGATACGAGGAATTCTTAATCTCAGGAAACAAACTGAGGGTTGCTGGAGTAGGGGTGGGGTAGGAGGGATGGGGTAGCTGGATGATAGACATTGGGGAAGGTATGTGCTATGGTGAGCACTGTGAATTGTGAAACACTGTTGAATCACAGACCTGTACTTCTGAAACAAATAATAAGGTATATGTTAAAAAAAAATAGCAGGAAGGGAAAAATGAAGGGGGGGAAATCAGAGGAGTAGACCAACCATGAGAGACTATGGACTCTGAGAAAAAAACTGAGGGTTCTAGAGGGGAGGAGGGTGGGGGGATGGGTTAGCCTGGTGATGGGTATTAAAAAGGGCACGTACTGCATGGAGCACTGGGTGTTATACGTCAACAATGAATCATGGAACACTATATCAAAAACTAATGATGTATGGTGATTAACATAACATAATAAAATTTAAAAAAAAGTTGAAGCATGTACCTTTCCAATAAATGCCATGGCATTTGCACTCCCAGCCTTTGCTGCCTTTAAGAAGTAGTATAATGCTTTCTGGAGAGGAAAGGGACAGTATTATTGATGGTCACAAACATATCCTACAAAATGGCTTTTCAGACCAAACTTTATCTCATTTAACATTATTCAAAAAGTATTTATGAAATGCGCACACTGTTTAAGGTACTATTTCAAATGCTATTTCAAACATAAACCTGAAGAGTGGGAGCTATATATGGTTCACATATGTAATTTTAAAATGTGAGGGTTTGGTTTCTTGCATGTGGAAAGGCATGATGGGCATGTGGCTTTTTGGAGGACAGATGGATCCCAGCTCGAGAACTACATTGTCTATTATTTTGAAAAGTATGCTTCAATGTTGACACTATGTACTTATTTTATAAGACAGTTTGTACAATTTGGTAGAATTGGATATGTAGCTTCCTAATGTTTATAAGGTGGAGTGAATAAAACAAGACACATCTGGCCGCCTGCTGAGACCAGGTCTTTTTACAGAGGTAAACTTCAGGCCAATTCTTTTTAAATCAAAATGAAGGAGCCCAGCCAAGTCTGATTCTCTTTAGGTCATAACATTAATTGAAATGCTCAGTCTAGAACTTATAAGGGTTGACCTGACCCTTGTTGCCCATTCCCTAGGCCTCATCTTGACCTCTTAGAAGTTCTCTTCAGAAACCACATGAAGCATTAAAAGAAATCCACTGCAGGAATAAGGAATGAAGACACTCTCTGAAGTGTCTTTTTAGGATACAACTCGTCTGCTCTTTAAAAAGCCTTGACTAGGTTGATGGGCAAGGATCTGCTCTTCCTCAAAGAGAAGAGAAGGTTTAAGGAAGAAATGTGAGTAGTTCTTTTATATGTAAATTTACTCCAGAAATATTGCCAATTTATTTGGGAGCCACACCTTTGTTCTAAAGTCAGTGTGCCTTGTGGACATAACTAAATATAAATGCCACCAGGGCTGTACCTCAGCAAACCATACACCCATGCATCCATCCACCTCTTCTAGTCTTCATTTATTCTTTCAGAAACTTGATTGAAAAGAGCTATGTATATGGTAGTATGTTAAGTTATTATAGGTGAGTCACAAATGAAAAATAAATACCATCCCTACACTTGCTCTCTACCAATACTGCTGAGAAGAAAGGCATATATGCAAATAGCAATGACAGTGGGTGAGAGGCGGGAACAAAGGAACACCAAAAAGAATTAGAGAGGTATGGCATAACAATTATACATATGTGTTTTACAATCTTTGTCTTACCTAATCTTCACAACAGCACTAGAAGAAGGTACTATTAATATCTGAGCCAATTTTGTGACACTCAAAGTCAAGCAACTGGTACATAAGCAGCCTGATTCCAATTTCCATGCACTTAGTACTCTGCCTTCATGGTGTCAAGAAAGAGGATTCAAATGACAAAGGTCTCACAAAAAAATGGAGAGAATTCACCAGTGCAGAGGGCATCATAGGCTGAGGAATAACATGAGTAAGGAACAGAGATAGAAATGTCCAAGGTGTGTCTAGGAAATACTAATTACTTCAGTATGGCTGAAGTAGAATATCCAAAAGCTAAGACTTGCAAGAATATGATGGGGCCATATTTTAACAGTCTTGAATACTAGGCCAAGGCTTCTATTTTCTTTGGTAGAAAATGGAAGCTGTTGGAAATTTATGAGCATAAGGGAATCTTAAAACAGCAAACGATGTCCAAAATGTCCAGAATAACCTAAGTGTCAATTGGATAGGAGAAAATTGTAGCAATGTATGATTTATCAATCATCTATCAGTAAACAAGTCAAATGTATGACTTACCAATCACATTTATCAGACCCCATTAATATAGAAAATGAAGGTATTTCTTATGAATGCCTCTACTGAGCCAAGATCCAAATATACCTATAGGCAACTATCATGGCAAGCATCCATAGATTTAAATGTCTGAATCCCCTGTACTTAGCACAGTGTCTAACTGTATATCAGGCACTCAGGAAATATTTCTGGAATGAATACATGAGCGAGGCAATGAAAGGATAAGTTTATAAATCTCTAAAACGGGGAACTGGATTTTAAGCTTTATAGTCCCTTATAGCTCTTATACTATGATTCTGTGAAATAATTTTCAAAGTCCAGTTTCAGAATTTGGCTCTCAAAATATTTGGCAATAGAAAATCTTGGGAAAAAATTGTCACTCTGAGAAACTATATTTGAATTGTTAAAAGAGAATAAGCAAATAAGAATCAGAAGAAAATAAGAATCCTGGAGTTTTCCCGATCTTTCAATATGATGATCCCATAAAGACAAAGGAATTGAAGCTTTCTCTAATTTCCCCTTCTACACCCTTCCACTCTCATGGCTTACTTGACGTTTCAGTTCTCTTTTATTTGTCTTTAAATTAACCTGCCTTTAGTGCTATTGCTTTAATTGTATGAACATTTACTAAACACTATGTGAAAGTATCATGCACGTTACTTTGATGAGTCTTTGCTCTCAAAGAGTTAAGCATCCATTCATCCATCTATCTGTCAATCCATCCATCTACCCATCCATCCATCTTCCCATCCATCCATCCATCTGCTGTGGTCTGCATATTTGTGTCCCTTCAAAATTCATATGCTGAAAACCTAATACCCAAAGTGATGGTATTAGGAGGTGGGACCTTTGGAAGGTGACTGGCACAGAGCTTTCATGAATGGGATTAGTGCCTTCATAAAGGAGGCCTCAGAGAGCTAGCCCATTCTTAATGTTATGTGAGGATACAATGAGAAGTTCATAAACTAGAAGAGGGCCCTATCCAACCATGCTGACACTCTGATCTCAAACTTCTAGCCTCTGGAAATGTGAGAAATAAGTTTCTGTTGTTTATAAGCCACCCAGACTATGGTATTTTGGATATAGCTGCTAAAACTGACTAAGACACCATCCATCCTTCCTTTAAATATTTATGGAGCACCTACTGTCATATTTTACTGATTCTAAGATGTACCCTCACACCCACTTTAATCAGGACACTTCTTACTATCAATGGCATCATATAATTTATATTGGCAGTGTTTTTTCTTTCTTAATAGAACATAAAGTATCTTATAATTGATGGTGTCTTAGATAGGATGAAATATAGTATGTCCCAGGTATTATGCAAAGTGAAATGTTATTATTTAAACATATATCTTCTTAAAACAATGAGCATGATTTTTCATTGGTTCAAGAAAATCCCTAGGTTTAATCAGTTTGTAACATTTCCCCTAGAATGAAATGCCAAGAAAATGTATTACTTTAAAAATATTTATGAATACTTCTTTTATCTCAAAATATGTAAATCATTCTGAAAAGGAATGAAATTATCTCTTGTTTTTTTAATGGGTGTCAGGGTAGACAAAGCAGTTGCCCTTACATATCTGGTATTATGCCTCTGCTAGGTTTAATTTAATTATGCCATATCCACTTTATTTTTTTATTAACATATAATGTATTATTTGTTTCAGGGGTACAGGTCTGTGATTCATCAGTCTTGCACAATTCACAGTGCTCACCATAGTACATACCCTCCCCACTGTCTATCACCCCCCAATCCCTCCCACCCTGAGATATCCACTTTAATAATATGCACCCAAATACCCAGCTTTCCTAATCCAATTTATTCTGAGCCTGTATAAATTTAGGAATGCAAATTACATTAAAATATATGTGTAGAAATTCAATATAATGTAATCAAGAATTGCATATACAATATTTTTCAGTAATTAAAATTTGGTAGTGGGGGAGGGAGCGGTGAAAATGTTGCCTATAGTGATAACTCATGAGAGACTAATTTAATCAAACAAGAAGAAGAAAAAAAAAGGCAAACTAGTTTTTTCCTAGTATTTTATTTTATTTTATTTTATTTTATTTATTTATTTATTTATTTTTTTAAAGATTTTATTTATTTATTTGACACACAGAGAGAGATAGCAAGAGAGAGAGAGGGAGGGAGCACAAGCAGGGGGAGCGGCAGGCAGAGGGAGAAGCAGGCTTCCTGCATGAGCAGGGAGCCCGATGTGGGGCTCGATCCCAGGACCCTGGGATCATGACCTGAGCTGAAGGCAGCAGTTTAACCAACTGAGCCACCCAGGCGCCCTTTCCCAGTATTTTAATACTTGATTTGCTGGGTAGTAAACTGGGCATTACTTACAATTATAAAGAACCTTACACTAATAATTTTCTTTGGTGGACTGAAGCATTGGCATACTGGCTTAAGTGGTGGTTCTCAGGCTAAGGACCAACATATAATGCTTAGGATGTTATCACTCATTCATTCATTCATTCACTAAATACCAAGTACCTAATATGTATCCAGTACTATCAAGAGTATAGGATACATTGGAATGAGCAAGACAAACAAGAACTTACATTCCATTGTGGGGAGACAGATAGTAAACAAGTCAAGATCTATATGATTCAGGGGGTGATATGGGAAAAGGAAAATAAACACTGATAGGATAAGTGGTGGAGAGTAGAGTTGATCAAGAAAATCCTCTCTAAGGAAGTAAGACTCGGAAAGATGAGAGGCCAGCCATGGGAAGAGTTGTAGTAACAGCCTTTCAGAAATTGGGTTTTTCCTTTTAGCTTCTCTCACTCCCATGCCACTTCAAGTTGATCCTGGTACAGCTAAGCTGTGGTAAGGTGCAAAAATGACCACAATACTTTGCAGTTGTGCCTATTAAAAGAAGTCCTTTTCCCCTGCCCCTTCAATGTTGGCTGGACTTGTAATTTGCTTCGGCCAAAAGAATGTGGTAGAAGTGATTTGTGAGTTCCAGCCCTAGGCTGTAAGAGACTTTCGAGCTTGTCTTCTTAGAACCCTGGGCGGCCATGTGAAAAGCTTGGGCACAGTTGGCTGGAGGAAGGGAGCATGTGGAGAGTCCTAGTCATCCTAGGTCACAGATGAGGCCATCATAAACCAGCCAGCTCTGGCCAATACTCTACAGATGCATGAGCAAGCCTAGTCAAGATTGGTTGAGCCTGGCTGAGACCATAAGACTTACTCAGCTGAGCCCAGCCAAAACTGCTGACCTGACAAAATCAGGAATTAAATAAATGGTTGTTGTTTTAAGCCATCTAAATTGGGGAGTGGTTTATGAGGCAGCCTAAACTAACGCATACATAAGCCAATCAGTCTTTTCTTAATGTTGAAATTTTTTTAAAATTTTATTTTATTGTTATGTTAGTCACCATATATTACATCATTAGTTTTTGATGTAGTGTTCCATGATTCATTGTTTGTGTATAACACCCAGTGCTCCATTCAATACATGCCCTCCTTAATACCCATCACCAGTTGACCCATCCCCCCACCCCCCTCCCCTCTAGAACCCTCAGTTTGTTTCTCAGAGTCCATAGTCTCTCATGGTTTGTCTCCCCCTCAGATTCCCGTCCCCTTCATTTTTCCCTTCCTACTATCTTCTTTTTTTTTTTTTAAACATATAATGTATTATTTGTTTCAGAAGTACAGGTCTGTGATTCAACAGTCTTACACAGTTCATAGTGCTCACCATAGCACATACCCTCCCCAATGTCTATCACCCAGCCACCCCATCCCACCCCCCACCACTCCAGCAACCCTCAGTTTGTTTCCTGAGATTAAGAATTCCTCATATCAGTGAGATATGATACATGTCTTTCTCTGATTGATTTATTTCTAAGCCAATCAGTCTTAAGGTTTGAAAACTTAACTAGAGCTCTCCAGGCAGGTTTGGGTTTATTAGGTTGAGGAAAGCTGGAAGGACAAGCATGTGCCTGAACCACTCTGATGGTTCTGGAATCAAACCAGGCTTTTGGTGATATCTGGATGGGAAGCATGGAGCCCAAGCCAACCATTTGAAAGTTAGAGCTAAAGAAACCTAATTATATCATTCCTTCTTTTTACATTATAAATGAGGAAACTAGATTTCAGAGGCTGTATACTACCCCCCGCCCCAGGTTAAAAGGAAGCAAGGTTTAATGAAAAGAGCACAGGCTTTGAATGCTGAAGCCCAGATTTCAAATTCTGATTCTTAACATTACTAGTCAGCTGTGATACTTAAAACAATTTACTTCATCCCTACAGCCTCATCTCCTCATCTGTAAGATAGAGCTAATAAAACCTCTGTGAATGAGCCCATAGGAGAGCCTGAATGGGCTCCTTGATGTTGCCCAAGTGCCTGGCTGTTGCCACTACAGCACCAGAAGCCTTCACTGCCAGCCCTGAGATTGTACTTCATCCTCATCTGGAGGCAGCTCCCACCTGGTGTTCGCAGTGGCTGGAGGTGCCACTTTAGCTTTGTGGAGTTTTTATGTACTCTGCAAAGATTGATGGATTTTCCCCACAGCTGAGGTTTGGGTGCCTTAGTACTCAACAGAATTTCATGTTTATGGAAAATGGGTAATTCTTACTAGTTTATGCATCTGTTATTTAACATGAGAAACTCATTGTAGGCTGAAATCTGACACTGGAGTAATATCGTGAATCTAGAACTTCCCATCTAAGAAGCTAGAACCTTGGTTATGGTGAGAATTAATAAAATCTGAACACCTTCAATTGAGCTGTCTTAAGATGCATGTGCTTATTTCAAGTGCTACCTGTTTTGTCACTTTTTATAAAATTAACTTTGACATTTAGCCAATGTATACTGTACCTCATTTAAAACACAAGTTACACTCATAAAAACAATACAAAGTGAAATGAACAGTAACAACAGATCACTCTTTTATGTAACCACCTTATTAAAGTAGTTATTTCTATTGCTTAGCTATTGGGACTATGTTGAAATAGGGCATGTATTCCTTTGAGACTGTGAGCACATAGCTCCTATAAAATGGCAAGGGCTGCAAAATCATCTTTAAAAAAGAATCCCAGTTACTTCCTCAGATCTGAGGGGATCTATGGCCTTGAAACCACAATTAGACTCTAGACGAGACCTGATCCGCTGGCTCTGGTAACTTACTGAGATCTTGTGTAGGTCAAGTTTATTTGCTTTTTCCTCCACTATAAATTTGAATTGTTAATTAATCTTATAACCTCACTGGGATAAGGTAAGGTTAAGCAAAATGATTGAAAGGAGCTTTGCAAATTTATAAAGATGTTTAATAATATTTCTAATTATATTATAGGCAGTCTGAGGCTGGTCCTCAGACCCCTTAGCAAGAAACTCCTAGGTGGACTCTCCACAGCTGGCTTTTGGGGAATGGGTGTGTCCAAGGCTGGCAGGTGAGGGTATCTACTTCACCTAACCCCAGTTAGGGAGGGAGGGCTAGGTTCAAGGGGAACACGGAAACTCCTTGGCCCCAAATGCTCTTTCAGAAGCCTCTACTCCTTAGTGTTTGGAGGTAGGTAGGAAAAATGCTTCCTCTGGTGAACTTTGTTCTTCCTCAAAAGCTAGAAAGCTGATCTGACCAAAGAAGTAGCAATGGGCTCTCCACAGCAACTTTTCCATGCCCCCCCTTACGTTTTTGCCTCCCTTACCCCATCCTCCCTCACCACTCTCCTCCGTACCCCACATGACTGAATCTTGAGACTGACTTACGTAGTAATCCTGATCCAGACCTTTCCTCCCAATTAGATGTAATTGTCCAAGAGATACCTAGGAATAACAATTTTTGAAAATTATTTTAGCAATAGCATTAATTTAAATGAAGAAAATAAGTCAATTATACCTCAATTTGAAAGATAAATATATAAAAATGGTGAAAAAAATGAAGAAAACATTTACTTGGTGTTTTATTAGTATATGTTTCAGTTTGATACAGTAGAAGCAGAAAAAACATTCCAGGCTATATCTTTTATTGGGTAAGTGACTGATGCTGGGCATCTGGCTTCCTCCGTGGCAGGAAACTGGCCTGCTGGTATACAGCAACACCTGGAAACATAAACCTAGCAGCCTTTACTCTTAGCTCTCAAAGGTCACACAAATGCTGTCCCATTCCCATTCTCAAAGATATAACACTTCTGAATGATGGTTAAGAGTTCATTCATACTCAACACAGGATGATGCTTTTTTCCTACACTTAAAATCTCAGTTTTTTTAAAATTAAAATTTTTAGGAGTAAATGCAAAGAAAAAATTGCCATTACTATGACAGATGGCTCTCCCATAGGCTATAGAAACAGGGAACCAGAAAAGAGGAGCAGTTGTCTCTTCTTGTTCACATTCAGGATGGAGCATTGTTAACCCTTTTAGGACTCAGACAACCAAACCCCTTGTAATTTGCATGTTCTAAAAATCCAAATTCGTCTGTATACATTACTTGTATCTGAACATCTCCTCTTTCTGCCAAAAATTTGTAGTATTGGTATATGTCCCAATCCAAAATCTCACTGTTAGAACTCAGATTTTCAGGTCTCTCAGTTAGTCTCACTTTTTCCACTGGAATACCTTCACTTTTTTCCAATTTGTCAGCAACTGTGAACAGAAACAAACCAGAGAATAGCTGGAATACACAAGGTTGCAAGAGGTAACAGTCAACTTAGAGAAAACAGGCCAATTCTACTTAAATTGTGCAGAGTTCTGGTCCACTAACAGAAAAAAGGACATCTACCGTTAGGAGATAGAAATTTACTGATTTTTGTTTATCTGGTTCTGAGGAAAGTACAAGAAACCTCATTATTTTTTGCAATCCTTACAAAAATTGTATCAGCATGTATCAGAGCCTAGTGAAGAGCTTGGCCCAGCAGATGTTAGGAGCAGGCAACTGACCCCTTCTACCACTGACTTTTTCCGAGATTGAAACTACAATATAAGAATAATAATTGCTCCTTAATTACTTCCTATGAATAGTCTGAAAATAAATATAAAGATAAATATGTTTGAGTAAATCTAACAGAGTATGGAGTTTGAAACATATACATATATATACATATAGTAATTCCAATTTCATTAAGCATATGAAATGATCTTGTTATATATAGCATCTTACATTAAAAAGCAGTTATTTTCCTCTTTTCTTTCTCAGATCCTAATAATGCCAAAATGTGTATTTAGATATTATTCTGACTACAGAAATTAACCATATGGACCTTACCTTATTCACTTCTTGGAAGACTTTTATTTAAAAATCTATTATTTTGATTATAAGTCTGGTTCAGTGATGTGTAAGATGAAATGTTACATATGATTTTGAAAATGATTCTAGAAACGTATATTAATCTCATGCTCTATTCTTTGTAGACAAAGGATAGGGTAATAGAATAATGATTAACTTGAATTATTCTCAAGTGCAGTGATAGAGATTGGTAGTGTATGTATCTTACATCCTTTTCTTCAGGAATTTTTAACAAACCATCCCATATACTAAGTGTTAGAATTAGAAAAACTGTTTAATATTTATTGATGCTACATTCAAATTCTCAGTTGAAGGAAAGCACAGCACAAGAACATAGGGACATATTCTAACAAAAATAAAAGAGGAGCACATCCTTTTAAAGCCTTTGAAAAATAACTATTAAGAAATCAGAAGACTCTACATTGTATTAAAAGAATTATAACAAATGTTAAAAAACATAGTCATTTAACACTTTCATAAATATACCAACTGGCATTGATTTATTCTTCTAATTGCTCAGTAAGTCTATTTATCTTTAAAATAAGTTATGTGGATTACTCACTATAATCTGCCACCTTCTTGTAATGATTTAGGGCAACTTCACAATTCTGTAGAACATTGATTCCTGACAAATATCTGTATCCCTAAAACACAGGCATATATATTCTTAATATTCTGACAGTGTTGTATTTATAACACACCTTTTAGGCCCAGGAATATTTAATTTACATACCAAAATCATCTGGGACATCATGCTTCCTCCAGCACTTCCAAAGGTGTAATATATCAGTGCCTAAGGTTAAAAAAAAAACCTGTATCTATATCCACCACCTAAATTTGAAGCTCAAACCAATCATTGCTTTTTTATTCCTAATCCAGCAATGAACCTTGAACTACTCCAAAATAAATTACAAATTTTGTCCTCTTAATCTGTAAAAATGGCTGACATTTTTGGAGGGCTTAGTGAGCTCTGGAGTCTTTGAAAAGGGCACTGTATAGATATTTCATTTAATTATCACAAAATACCTATGAAGTAGATATTATTTATCTATCATGGCAAACCTGAAATATGGGACATTAAGAAACTTATGTATTTTAACCTTAAACTTCTGACTATTGAGCTGGTGCTTTTAACCACCACTCTCAAGTAAGCTCCTTTGCCTAAAGAGGAGGCTATTCAATGTCCCTTTTTAAAAAATTCAGTTTTATTTCAGAAAAAAATAGAATGACCTTACCTTGGCTTGATTGTATTCCATTCCTATCCCATAAGAAGACAAAAATCCTAATGCCTAAAGCCCAAAAGAAAAGGAAAACTAAATAAATCCATTTATTTCACAATTATTCTTATTTACATTGGTAAAAGATATTTTAAATGTCTGCTCCATAATAATTTGTATTGTTAGTTTATTTCTTATCCTATAACAAAACGCCTTTTTACACTTTTGCTAAGGCTGTAAGAATTTGGAAAAGTAATAGTGGGAGTTTTGTAACACGTAAAAATAGGCTAACATTTACTGACCTTTAGTACAAATTATAATAATAAAACATTATAAACCAATGCTTTTTATATGCTTGCTATTCTTGGCAATGGAAAACACTTTTTTCCTTCAACATTATTAAATTTAAATTTGAATATTTTTCTTCATATTTTTATTTATTTATTTTAAAGATTTTATTTATTATGACAGAGAGAGAGAGAGAGCAAGCACACAAGCAGGGGTATTGGCAATAAGAGGCAGAGGGAAAGGGAGAAGCAGATTCCCCTCTGAACAGGGAACCCGATGCGGGGCTCGATCCCAGGACCCTGGGACCATGACCTGAGCCGAACCTAACTGACTGAGCCACCCAGGCACCCCTTTCTTCATGTTTTTAAGAGAAGATATGATGATCATTGAACACTACATCTAAAACTAATGATGTACTATATGTTGACTAATTGAATTTAAACTAGAAAAAAAGAAAATATGATGGATATAAAAAATTCAAACAGGAAGAACTATATTGAATAAAAGTGAAAGTCTGATCACATAGCAAGATGGTGGAATAGGCAGCCCCAGATAGAGACATTGACTTAGCAACAATATACAGTCCAAAAAGTCTTTATGAGAACTCTGGAAACCAGTTAAGAAATCGTAGTAACCCATAAAAACTCAAAGCAAAGAAAGAACAATCCACTGAAACAAATAAGAAAAGCCATTTTATTTAACCTGCAATTGCTCCTTCCCCAAGCCAGCACAGCTCAGTGTGATGGGGAGAAAAAGCCCAATTCAGGGTTTTTCTCTTGGGAGGGAAAGAGAAGAGTGGAACTTAAGTCCAATGTTACAGCTTTTGGGAGGACAGCTCATGAGTCTGATTTCTGTCTTGCCTGACTCAAAGCACTAATGAAGAATCTGTATACTTTGGATTCCTGGGGGGCAGCTGAGAACAAAAGAGAGCTCAGCTACTTGTTGCAGCACTGGAGAATGTGTAGTATATCACAGATAGAAGCCAGCACAACTTGGCACGATCAGCAGAAAGTGCTCAGCTTGTAGCTTCTCCCTTGGAAGGGAAAAAAGAGACTGGAATTAGGGCCCAATGTTCTGGCTTTTGGGAAGCTGCTCAAAATACTTGTTTCTATCTCCTCTGACTTGGAGCACTGACAGAACTGGTATGCTTTAGATGCCTGGGGCCACAAGAAGAAAAGGGAACTTAGCAGCTTGTTGCAACACCAGAGAACCCGTAGTATCACCAACACACACTAAAGGGAGCAAAAGACGACAAGCTCCTGAAAAAGACCAACAAATCTCTCTAACTGGGAAATTACAAACACAAGCCCAGAGAAGACACACACCCCAAAATGATTTGAAAGCCCCCCAGAATCTCTAACTATGTTGATTGTGAAAGTCTTCCCTGTATATAGCCAATCTGTAAAGATGGAGAGGTGGCTATATTTCCAAATGCATAACCGCAACAAAAATTAACAAGGCTCATGAAGAAACAGGTAAATATGGCCCAATCAAAGGAACATAATAAATCTAAAAACACCCCAACCCTAAAGAGATGGAGATCTATAAATCACCATACAAAAAATCCAAAATAACTCAAAATGCTACCAAAAAAAGCACATATAAACAACTAAGCAAAATCAGGGAAAGGGTGCATGAATAGAATGAAAATATCAATGAAGAGCTAGAGAAAGAAAGAAAAGAAGAAAGAAGAAAGAAGGAAAGAAAGAAAGAAAGAGAAAGAAAGAAAGAAAGAAAGAAAGAAAGAAAGAAAGAAAGAAAGAAAAAGAGAAAGCCTCCCTTTAAAAATTCTGGAGCTGAAGAATACAATAACTGAATTGAAAAATTCACTAGAGGGGTTCAAAAGTAGACTTGATTGAGCACAAGAAAGAATTAATGAACCAAAACACAGGTCATTTGAAATTATCAAGTCAGTGGAACAAAAAGAATGAAGAAAAGTGAAAAAAATCCTAAGAGACTTATGGAAACCATCAAGTGGACCAATATACACATTATAGGAGTCACAGAAGAAGAGTAAGGGAAAGAGGCATAGTGAGCTTATTTTAAGAAATAGTGGCTTAAAATTTCCAAATCTGAGGAAGGAAATGGGTATCCAAATTCAAGAAGTTCAATAAACTTCAACTCGGATGAACCCAAAGAGGCCCACACCAAGGTCACGATCCCAGGGTGATGGGATCGAGTCCCGCATGGAGCTCCTTGCTCAGCATAGAGCCTGCTTCTCCCTCGGCAGCTCCCCCTGCTCCTACTCTCTCTGTGTCAAATAAATAAATAAAATCTTAAAAAAAAAAGAGCGAGAGATAAACATAATCATATGAGAAAAAATGGACTTTAAGTCAGAAAATGTCACAAGAAACAAAGTAAGGACATTATGTGGTAATAGGCTCAATTCACCAGGAAGATATAACCATTATAAATATATATGCAACAGGTGAGCACCCAAACTTATGAAGCAAACATTGACAGAACTGAAAGGAGAAATAGACAGTAACACAATAATAGTAGGATATTTTATTTTATTTTATTTTATTTGAAGATTTTATTTATTTGAAAGAGAGAGAGAGAGCACACTAGCAAAGGGGAAGGGGCAGAGGGAGAGGGAGAAGGAAACTCCCTGCTGAGCAGGACCCCGGGATCACGACGGGAGCCGAAGGCAGATGCTTAATCAATTGAGCCATTCAGGCACCCAATAGTAGGAGATTTTAATGCCCCATTTTCAATAATGGATAGAACAACCTGACAGAAGCTCAATGAAGAAATAGAGGAGTTGAACAACACAATAGACTAAATAGACCTAACAGATATATAGAACACTCCACCCAACAATAACAGAATGCATATTCTTTTTAAGAACACATAGAACATTTTCCAGGATAGACCATATGTCAACTCACAAAACATTAATAAATTTAAGAAGATTAAAATCATACCAAGTACCTTTTCTGAACATAATGGAATGAAACTAGAAATCAATAGCAAAAAGAACACTGGAAAATTCACAAAGATGTGGAAATTAAGCATCACACTCTTGAACTACCAATGGGTCATGGGAGAAATCACAAGGAAATTTAGAAAATATCTTGAGGCAAATGAAAATTAAAAGGCAACATACCAAAACTTATGAGATGCAGCAAAAGCAGTACTAAGAGGAAGAGGCATAAAGCACTTCCAATAGTGAAATATGTTGGTTGTTTCAAGGAAGTGCTTGTTTGAGTTGCAAGCTGAAATAGCCACTTTTGGCATGGAACACCATCTTTATTTGAAGGAACAATGGATCAGCTATGTTCATTTAGACTGGCAGACATTTTCTTGAAAATGGACAGTAAGCCTGTCACTTCAATAAAAAATATTGAAAGTATTGTCGCCAAAGATAAATTCAAGCTTTTAAGCAAAAATTAGAATTTTGGAAAGTTTATATCTGCTACCATGTATACCTTATATCTGTTTGACACCCCAATACTTAGACTTTTCATGATGGTGGTATTAACAAATGTAATTTTGATATTCTATGATGCAATGTGTCAAGTTTGGAAGACTTGCAAAATTTACTGAACTGATATTTTCTAAATAACCAATGCATGATGTTATAAAATCCTGTCTAGGTAAAAAACATTTCCATTCAAGGAGGCGGAGCAAGATGGTGGAGGAGTAGGAGACCTGGAT